CGTATCTCAATAATATTTGATAGTAAGTAATTCTATGAATTATTTTTCAACTAATATACATGTAAATATTTCCCTGTTATCATAAGAATTATAATGTAACTTAATGTTCTTATACAATCATTGAGAATTAATATTGGAACCTCATCATATGGACCATGGTACATAAATCTTATCATTCTTGGCTGTTATGATCACTGGTTGTCAGGGTAGCTAATGTGGCTTACTGTGGTTGTCATGTTGACCAGTTGCCATGGTGACGAGGTAGTTTTATGGTGGCTGGTCTCCATAGTGACAAGGGTGGTTCACGTTGGCTGGTTGCCATGGTAGTTAAGGTGGCCCTTAGATGATAATAATTGCTGGTATGCTAATTTGTTGCTCTCGCGATGGTGCCTGGTCTTCACTAGTCCTATCCAGTTAAATTATGTTTTGTGTCCGTAAATTTGAAAAATCAAATGGGTCCGAGAGTTTTTTTTATTTAAATGAAATTACTAAACTGCTTTTTGAAAGTGTCGAACAATGTATATGCCATTAAAGAAAACATACATGTACAAGATATGTTCAGGTGAACTTACTGTGTACAACATATAGCAATGTATACGTGTATACATTCTGAAATACCATGGGATATCTTCGGCGTTTCATTAGATACAGCGTCCTGCTGTGCTAAAATTCAGAAACTGAAATAGAAACTGAACATCACTTATTTATGACAAAGTTACTACCTCAGGAAGGCCTCGTAATCATGGCCTGTAATATAGGCGAGACGGGATCCCTCTGAGAAATCGGAAAGAAATATACTTTTATTTTTAAGATTCTAACTAACAGAATGAAATTTCACTCTGGCAGTTTCACGACATGACTTCATAGACACGTTATGATAAAAAGCTACTCTGACAATACAGGCATGTCAACCATGTCTAACTGAAAATCAATAATACGGGGAACACACAGAGAGACAACTGGCACCAGGAGAATCATTACACTTACACAGATTGTTTACCGAATGAGGTGGAAGTATCTAACATGAAACTCAAGTACACTCGCTTCCATTGTTTTGCCAACAACCCTATGAAACAGCTAGTTATCGAACTCAACAAAAATATGCCTACTTAAGCTTTCTCCATTCTCACGACCTCATCTCTAATCTACTTTAGGTCTTTGTACTTCATTTCGCTTCTCTAAATCTCGTTTCTAGAGTATACAGTAGCACAGTGATATAGGCAACCATTACATAACACACGGAACGGTAGCCGGAAACGTGGAGACAAGGCTTGATGGAGCAAGGAGTCGAACCGGTGGACCGTCGTTCAAATATACGTAATCTGATACAGGTGTCTGCTTACCGGTGCTCTGAATGATGGCAATGTAGAAATTGTGTCAGTAGAGCTCTCTTGGTGATCTTACAATCCTAATTCGTATTGCAGGCATGAAATGGTTTTTAGAAATTTAGAAATTTACTTCCGACTAGAAGTGAGCCCATTGTTCTCGTACTTTGTCGCATTCTTGCTTGAGGTCAATTGTTATCCTATTGTTAGCATTACGAGTATCGTTTCATGAACAGCTAAGCGTCGTGTAATTATTTCTGTAATTAGCTTATAATGTGCGACATCTCAGAAATTGACCCATATTTACATCCGACCTGTATGGCAATATGATGTATTGAGAGCATCGTCATAACTTCTCTACATCGTCATAACTTCTCTACACCGTAATTTACCGTTTTTCGTAGTTTCGTGCAGTTTCGTTCTTGGCTCAATCCTCAGTGTTTTTGACAATAACAAATCTATAGTATATGGCAAATTTATCTTAATTAGAATGAAGATCCACTTGAATAACAGTAAAATAATTTGATGACTAACTGTCCTGTTGCGTTATGTCATACGCCTGGAATAAATATAACAATACAGATGCGTAATAACACTATTTTGACGTCATAAATAAGTAATATCTTGATGACGTCACATGATTGCTTCATTAGTGGAAAACGTACCGTCGAAATCAGTTGATTATAGACAGAATCTTGCACTCCCGCCTAAAAGCACGTGTCAAATCAAAATATTGAACTCGTTTAGTAGATTCCATATTTATCGAAACTAAGCCTTACAGATATCCTCTATCTATTTACGAATCATATTGAATTTATCATATGTTATTTTATTTATCTTTGCTTGCATTTATCGAAGTAATCAACATTGTATCTGCACATTTGTATGAAATTGACAAATAATATAAAAAGCTATTTGGCCCTCGGGCTGATACTGATAAGTTGTGCGATATCAAAATGTCAATATCCGCTTAATGTTAACACATGGTGTATACAGATGTTGTTACATACTGGGTTTACATTGATCGATCTATCATATTCATTACATGACTACGGAGTCCTGATCTCAGATCGATTTTTACATGGTCCTATAATGTAGTGGGGCAAACTTGCGTTGTTGGTCCCATTGTTAAGGAGAATGTGAAAAAAAGCTTTAAGGTACATGTATCGACAATGTGATTGATTTTTTTCTTTCGTTTATTCACTTCGTATAGATGTAGGTATCGATTACGCTGTTTCATGATAGACAATGAGTTAAATGGCTCGTATATTTGATATATCAATATATTGAAGTAGACATTGAAATAAAGTGATTGTTACTACTGATCATAGGAATGATGTGAAAATCAAAAGACACATCTTTCTCAAAGATCAAACAATTTACGTTAAAATGTGAAAATAAAACAAATGGGTATAATTCTGTATAGAATGGGTTATATTGTACATATAAACTCCAACACGACATATGTAATGTCTTTACTAAGCGAGAAAACAAAAACGAAACCAATATTATCATCTTATAGCCCCGCAGGGCGACAGAACGAAGACTATCTTTATTTCGCCATGGCGGATCTATAATTATTGCAATTTCGTCCCCTGGTTAGGGTCGCGTGGCGACAGAAAGATGCTAACAGAGTGACGAAATATCACATGTCTCTAAACAGCCACTTCATATTTTGTATCGTATATAAGTTCTATCTCTGAGAGAGGACGATGTTTTCGCAGGTCTCATTGACAATATTACCGTTGCTTCGCTGCCTTGTTCTTTTGTTTGATGACATGTTTCAAAGATGAGATTACCGGTAGGAGGCCATATTGAATCTGAACACATTGCTATAACTAAATTTAAGATGTGCTGTGTGCAGTGGAGACTTTATAGCTTACAACAACAAATATCAGATTAAATAAGAAGGGAAAAACTTATATAGAAACAAGAAAGACCTGCGGTTGGCAGCATGGAACATCCGCCTGAATTCTCTAGATGTATTGCTGTGTCTCCCCATTGTTACATGTACAATGTACCTGGATATCGATTTTCTCATCAACTAATTCTCCCCTCCGTTAATATCTGTATATTTTGACTTTTTCGCGTGTGACTTAAACATCATTTATGTGTTCTCTCGCTTTTCTAATTTGACAAGGACACTTTCGTTTGAATGTTTTATTAGAGATTTCCTGTCACACATTTTCACTGTAGGCCTTTCCTCCTTAAATTTAATCTACTATCGATCGTATTTTCTGCAAAATGGAATTATTTTGCAGAATAAATGTTCAATTACAAAATTGCACTTCAAAAAAAATTATATAATTAAATTAAAACGCTTTAAGGAAAAAATCATAGCCTAGTGACTCTGTCAACATGACGCTTAATTGGAATGGAGTTTCAGCACGGCAAGGTCAACTATTTATCTTTGGAATTTGTCTAACAGATCAATAGTTCCTCGAGGGACGTCACGGGGAGGAGCTTCATGTGTCTGAGGTTGTGCGTGGGCTTACGACACCACACTCCTCGCAATGAAAATCTAACAGACTTTAGCACCAACATATATTTCCATGATATATGGTTTTGTTTTGCCTCCGACTTTGACGATCTTGTATTGTTATAAAAATGTCTATTTCTATGAGTTATGTGGTCCTTAGTTTCAAGCGTTACTGTGATATTGTATTTAACATGTCTCTGACATTTAGTTTGACTTGTCTCCGTGACGTCAACACTTTCTATAGGAGTGATTACAAACCACGTGATCTACCATCACCTGTTTATTAACTTCCCTCTGTCTGTAACCTTTTTATTTCTCTCTGTGAACCTCGTGCATGTGTATGTGTGCAGTGTATATACATGTGAATTACTGTCGGGATGACCTACACAAAACAGTTTGTGATATATATCTTGCTGTCTGTGACCTATATATAACTATCTGTGACCTATATATTACTGTATGTGATCTATATACAATGTATTACTGTTTGTAACATATATATTACTCTGACTTATATATTACTGTTTGTGACATAAACACGTGTGTATATCTCTGCCTGTGACCTGTACATCTCTATGTTTGTCCTTACATGGTCCAGTTATTAATTTATAAATAAAAAAATGAGATTTTCTTACCATTTTTAGAACAGAAAAAAAAGAGTTTGCGTATGTATTATTTTCCGATTCGGAGAATTTTCCCTAAATACATGTAAATCATGTGTGATCATCGCTTCAAGTGAGTAGGATTTGTAAAATGCGTACATATACACCACCAATCAACTAATCATGTATGATATTTACACAAGTGTATTCATATTTACTACAAGCTGGTTACCATTATGTTCGCGTGTCTAAAAGTGACCTAGAAATCTGTCTATTTTCCACGAAATTTTCCGTTCAAATGTATATTTACATGAAATACCTCACTACTTTATTTTAGTTTTAACTACCATTGTCTCTCACCTGTGTTATTTATATATATATATATCAATTTCCGGTTAAGATGTCTGATTAATATATTTGTAAATCTCCATATAAGGCGAATGATGATGACACGCCGAACCATGTACATTGATTCTTCAATGGCGAGAAAGTTAACTATTAAAAGAGTATACTGGTACATTAATACATATAACACATCTTATTTCCCTGGTCAGCATAACTGTGGAAAAATGCTGTGACCAATCAAATTACAAGTTATGTTTTTTGTCGGCATACCAACACCGGCACGTGCGAGTGATGCACTATGTAGTCGCTAACACTTCCCAGAAAAGTGCGTCGGACAGTACCGAGACCTCTACTTCCGGTTATAATGAAGTCGGCGTTTTGCTCTTGTGCAACTTTACAGATTCCTGGTCCTGGCTCTCCTCCCACGCGAATCAGCTTTCCTTTCATCTGGAAACAATCAGAGTGCGTTTTATCATTTATGAACCAAAACTCTAACTTATTACATACAGAAAATATGATGCATCTTCGCAGTTTGTATGTCATTCATTCGGAAGCATATCTCTATTCACCGAAATGGATCATAAACACAGCATCATTGATAGGCAGTCTTATCTGACACCTCAAATATATCGTCGCTTCGACAACAATTTAATGTCGTAAAAAAACCTCAAAAAACCTGACGTCTCCGGCACCCCTCGAACATATATCATTTCTGAACGTTCCATGTCCGACACCATGTTTTAAGAAGAAAAGACAAGTTTGACACTTTGATGTGCATCAAACAAATCTCAAGGTCTCATATGTACTGGCTGTGTAGTAGGGAGTCGCTCCTTTGTAATCTTTGTAATCCAGAAGGTGTAGCACACGGAACCTTGGATTCTGCCATGATATGTTCCAGTCCATATCGCCTTCATTTCAGTTTTTGATAGCCATCGATAAAAAATTAATACATTCATACATTAATCTTCACAGAAGCACTAGTGTATACACTGACCACTATTCCGAGGCAAAGTCGCGATGTAAAATTGTTTGCGAAAATGAACTTTAAGTTTCCAGTTATCACTAACTAGATTTCTTTACATATCATATATATACATATAGTACAACTAGTACCTTAAAATAACTTTAGAGACCTTAGAATACGACAATGGTAGAGTTATTCTAATTGAGTTATAAAATCAGAACTTGTGGTTACCGATAAACCACCAGCAATCAACCCGTTGAAGTACCACATGATCACAGAACAACAGAGAACATAAATCTTAGATCTAGAAATCTGGTTTGAAATCAGTTCGGTAACTTGCCACGAAACCATTCACAATTACCATAAACGTCAGTTTGGTTTATTTGAACTTCTCAACACTGTTTAGCGCCCCAAACTTATCTTATATTAACGTTACATTGTACCATTTGATCAATAACAAGAGCCTTGATATTGGTAATTATTTGTAATTGTACCTTATGATCTTTAACAAGGGCTTCGAATTTCTCAGCTATTTTATTCATCTCTTTTTCTTCCTCCATTATAAGATTGGTGACAAGGGCTGGATCGATTGACATCATGGTGAGAGCTGCAAAGAAATGGTGCGAAATTGATATGAGCTCGAGACGTTCAACTGCATGGCGTCAACGTTAGTACAGGGGAAACAACTCTTCATCTTGAATATCATGTACCTCAGATTTTACTGGTAACAGGTATTATCGGATACAAAAGGTGGTTGTATAGAAATTGCTGAAATAATGTATATCAATTTTATTACACGTCAATAATCTTTACAATGTTTTCACTTTAATACAAATAGTGTTTTATGTACATTTATACCTGTAGTTTGGTCGACAGTGTGTTATACTCATGATAATGTTGTATGTTGTTGTTGCTATTGAATGTTGAATTTTGTTTACTTGATACTTACATTGTTGATTGTTTAATGACTTATATTCAGCACAATACACAATCACCAACTGATCATGTTCTTTGTATAAATTGTCTTTGTAATCTGTAAGGTTAAAAATATCGATATAAATAACGCGTAACCAAAATCCTATACAAGGGAGGTAACTATGATTCAAACGATGAACAAACTTACCGCTAATTCGGTTCGGCAGAGTATGAAATCCTACTTAATTTTCGTTTATTGATGAAGTATTATGCTAAATCTGTCCATTAATATCTGAAACATTATTTGGCTAGATAAAATTATACAGAGATATCACTTATACTTTCGCTACTTACAAGTTTAGACACGAGAAAAAAAAATAAGGTTAGAAAGTAGGACCGTTTCCATGAAATTAAACGTTTCGTATATTTTCCACGTATTTATCGGACACCAAATTTATCGTGGATTTAGAAGGTAATAGTACAATAAAGGTAACTCCATAGTTATAGATATACATAGAACTTCTAAACATGATAGTTAACAGAACTCTATTTGCGGGGCCGATGTAACCATGACAACAGGACTACACATATGGGAAAGAACACATATGTTGTAATATCTTGTATCTGTTGAGCTGTGTTAAATATTGTCTAGTCGTTTTCATGAATGTACCATTTTGTTAAGAATAACACTAAGACATACATTCATATATCTATCTTTTTTTTCAAATTCAAAGTTTCTTATGTGTGTATTTAGCAAATTTAAACTCTGTTTCGATTTTTTTCTCGTCAGTTTAAGTAAGATAGTATGACTCTATACACCTTGAATTGACGTGACTATTATATCAACCCCGTATCTTTAGTCAGTGACCTAAATCCAATATGCACGATAACGCTCCACAACCTGTACATTGTCTATACTAAAATTATATAGATAATGGAAATTAAACCGTTAGACGTGCAAGTGAAAACATTCACACATTTTACACACTTTATTCATGACAAAATAATACTTACATGTGAAGGCACAATCTGCATGTTCGCTACCGTCCATAGCAATAAGCACTGTACGTTCATCGGTCATCTTGCTCTCGTGTTGAACTGACCAGTCTAAGGTTAAGTTTCCTCTCTGTGATCTTTGGACACAGATGACAACGCTGGAATGTACCAAGCGATATGTCACAGATCGTAATGTGTCGGTACTTAAAGCGACACAATCTATAAACTCAACAGTATGACCATCCAGTTGCGCGAAAAAATCTTATGCAATTTGAACTATACTAAAGCGATAGGATGCCGACTCGCGATTTTATTAATATATTTTTCCAACCTGATAAGTTTAAATATACATTTTTTAATCTATATATGTTATAACCACTCTTTGGCGTACAAGGTGTGATATTTTTAATAACTGGCAATAAATGCACATATGTTGCTTGCATTATTCATGATCAGGATAAAAAATCAATAGTGCCTGTTATCTATCCAGTGAACAGCCAGGTGCCGTAAAATCTGAGATATCATCGCCTGTTGGTGTACTTGTTTTGATTCTTTCTTTTGATAGGCTGTAGTTTTTGTAGTTTAATTTTCTGTAAATCTTATTGCCAAATCTTTTATTAAGAATATTACGATAAACAGTCAACATTCTCTCTGTAAACAAGTTCCAAAGATAGGTGTGTAGAATTCACACCAGATTTTTATCATTAAATGGAAAAGGTAGATAAGTTACTATTGCTTAACATGCATCCTAATTTCAATAAGTGAACTGAAAATTTGTAATTCATACAAGCATCATGTGTTGAAAAGTTGCCAGCGGTAACAAATCCTGCTTGAAATAAATCACAACTTTCTTCATCTCTAAATTCTGCATTTTGATGCCTTTCTGATATCAACAGAACTATTTAGATATATTCTTAAGATTTTTACTAGGAATTATCACAAGGGTATAAGACTTGTTCGAGCGGGACTAGCAAGTTACTACTGGTCTAAGGGAGATAACTTTTTCAGCGAAGCGAATTGACATAGATTTAAAAGGAAACTCGGATCTACAGAACACATAACTCAGAATTATAGTTTCTTTTATGTTCAAAATCATCACTCTAGCGTAGAAAGTGATTTGTTTCATTCCAATCATGGAAAATACTGATTTACGACATAAGCCACTCTCAAAACCGCGCATGCGTTGACAGACAACAGGACAGTGTAACAAGATCTAGGCATGATCAGAAGATGTCAGTACTCACATACTATTCCCAGGTTTTACTAACATACAACAGCTTAAGCACCTCAAACCTTGTGCCCGTAATGCAAAGAAAGTCCATGTGAAAATGTTGTACAGAGCTGAAATCCACCTTGTTTACCCAGTGTGAGACTCGCGATTACCGGACGATCGCCTACATTTAGTTATTCCCGTGATCACTGTCAGTATAGTGTTGATCACGATAATTTGTACAATTCAAGATCGAGTCAATATAGTGACTATACATAAGAAATCTCTACGAAATGGACCAGACGTGGAGAGAAGAGAGATGAATTGTTGAGCTGGTATGATGAATGAACTCAATAATAGTTCCCACTGAATTCCACAAACTCGATAGTAGTTCCCACTGAATCCCTCAAAGTCGATAACAGTTCCCAAAGAATTCCTCGAACTCGATAATAATTCCCACTGAATCCTTTAAACTCGATAATAGTTCCCACTGAATCCCTTAAACTCGATAATAATTCCCACTGAATCCCTCAAACTCGATAACAGTTCCCACTGAATCCCCCAAACTCGATAACAGTTCCCACTGAATCCCTCAAACTCGATAAAAGTTCCCACTGAATCCCTCAAACTGGATAATAGTTCACACTGAATCCCTCAAACTCTATAACAGTTCCCACTGAATCCCTCAAACTCGATATTAGTTCCCACTGAATCCCTCAAACTGGATAATAGTTCCCACTGAATCCCTCAAACTCGATAACAGTTCCCATTGAATCCCTCAAACTCTATAATAGTTCCCACTGAATCTCTCAAACTCAATAATAGTTCCCACTGAATCCCTCAAACTCGATAAAAGTTCCCACTGAATGACTCAAACTCGATAAAAGTTCCCACTAAATCCCTCAAACTCGATAATAGTTCCCACTGAATCCCTCAAACTCGATAACAGTTCCCACTGAATCCCTCAAACTCTATAATAGTTCCCACTGAATCTCTCAAACTCCATAACAGTTCCCACTGAATCCCTCAAACTCGATATTAGTTCCCACTGAATCCCTCACACTGGATAATAGTTCCCACTGAATCCCTCAAACTCGATAACAGTTCCCACTGAATCCCTCAAACTCGATAATAGTTCCCACTGAATCCCTCAAACTCAATAATAGTTCCATCTGAATCCCTCAAACTCGATAAAAGTTCCCACTGAATCCCTCAAACTCTATAATAGTTCCCACAGAATCCCTCAAACTCTATAATAGTTCCCACAGAATCCCTCAAACTCTATAACAGTTCCCACTGAATCCCTCAAACTCAATAACAGTTCCCACTGAATCTCTCAAACTCTATAATAGTTCCCACTGAATCTCTCAAACTCAATAACAGTTCCCACTGAATCTCTCAAACTCAATAACAGTTCCCACTGAATCCCTCAAACTGTATAATAGTTCCCACTGAATCCCTCAAACTCGATATTAGTTCCCACTGAATCTCTCAAACTCAATAACAGTTCCCACTGAATTTCACAAACTATATAATTGTTCCCACTGAATCCCTCAAACTCTATAATAGTTCCCACTGAATCCCTCCAACTGTATAATAGTTCCCACTGAATCCCTCAAACTCGATATTAGTTCCCACTGCATCTCTCAAACTCAATAACAGTTCCCACTGAATTTCACAAACTATATAATTGTTCCCACTGAATCCCTCAAACTCTATAATAGTTCCCACTGAATCCCTCAAACTCGATAATAGTTCCCACTGAATCCCTCAAACTCTATAATAGTTCCCACTGAATCCCTCAAACTCTATAATAGTTCCCACTGAATCCCTCAAACTCGATAACAGTTCCCACTGAATCCCTCAAACTCTATAATAGTTCCCACTGAATCTCTCAAACTCAATAACAGTTCCAACTGAATCCCTCAAACTCGATATTAGTTCCCACTGAATCTCTCAAACTCAATAACAGTTCCAACTGAATTCCACAAACTATATAATAGTTCCCACTGAATCCCTCAAACTCTATAATAGTTCCCACTGAATCCCTCAAACTCGATAATAGTTCCCACTGAATCTCTCAAACTCAATAACAGTTCCCACTGAATCCCTCAAACTCGATAACAGTTCCCACTGAATCCCTCAAACTCTATAATAGTTCCCACTGAATCTCTCAAACTCAATAACAGTTCCCACTGAATCCCTCAAACTCGATAACAGTTCCCACTGAATCCCTCAAACTCTATAATAGTTCCCACTGAATCTCTCAAACTCAATAACAGTTCCAACTGAATTCCACAAACTATATAATAGTTCCCACTGAATCCCTCAAACTCGATAATAGTTCCCACTGAATCTCTCAAACTCAATAACAGTTCCCACTGAATCCCTCAAACTCGATAACAGTTCCCACTGAATCCCTCAAACTCTATAATAGTTCCCACTGAATCTCTCAAACTCAATAACAGTTCCCACTGAATCCCTCAAACTCGATAACAGTTCCCACTGAATCCCTCAAACTCTATAATAGTTCCCACTGAATCCCTCAAACTGGATAATAGTTCTCACTGAATCTCTCAAACTCTATAATAGTTCCCACTGAATCTCTCAAACTCGATATTAGTTCCCACTGAATCCCTCAAACTCAATAACAGTTCCCACTGAATCCCTCAAACTCGATAATAGTTCCCACTGAATAACTCAAACTCGATAATAGTTCCCACTGAATAACTCAAACTATTGTGCTTAATCAAAAATTCCTAATTACTAAAAATCACAGGACACATTTCAGTTGTTTGCCGACTATTTAATAATAGAGGAATACAAAATCATATAAAAAAATGCTACACGTAACATGTAGGAGTAGGTTGATTGAAAAATAATGAATATATACTTTGGGAAAATATTATTAATTTATTTTCAATATGAAAAGTATCCCAAAGTACACTATTAATTGTTAATTTTGTGGTAACATTACATATATTACAAATCAAACTTTGGTTTGTTCGACATAATGGCCCTGTTGTATTAGTAGGTTATATTGTGGGGGTTCTTCAAAACCACCCTTTTTAAGTGATGTTGATGTTGAGAACATCTACACATGTATACAGTTACTCTCATTTCATTTGGTTTAATGTCTCCGCCTCTTCAATTTTGGATTTTCCCCACAAATCCTCATGTTCCTGTGGTTTTTCATTGGATTAATTTAGTTCACTGTGTTTTTAAAAACAAAAATGTCCTAATTAGTTCTTAGATAACAAAGATGTATGTTACACATGTGTACCTCAATATATTGTTTTATTCATTTAAGATTTCATCTTCAGATTAATACATGCTGTCAACAGGAAAATAATGTTCACACAGACAAAAGACACATGGAACGTGGAATGTCAACATAAAGCTTGTATCAGGTATTGTCACCGGTTGTGTAAACGGATTTTTCAGAATGAAAATGGTTTGACATGTGTTTTTTTATATAATTAAAGTAATCGTTGGATACATTATTGATATAAGATACGGTACTGTCAAAATACAGTACACATGATTTTATCCAAAACAGTTGTCTGTATAGGACTAACAAGTTAGATTGAATTGAAATCTAGAATGAACATTGTATATTAGTTAATAATCAAGACACAATGTAGATATTACGAAGAAAATTCGTATAAATATAAGAAGAATAGATATTTTGATATATTCTGTTCTTACTTTAATTACTTCAAATATTCGGTTGGGTCATGAAAATCACTATACTTTAAGCAGAGGTCTACCTAAGAGTTCAGCCAAATAGCACGTCTCTCAGCGAATGACCTTCTGTAGGTCAAGCTGATGCACACGGAGTACACATTAAAATATTTTCCAAATTACCGAGCAGA